TGGCAGGGGCACCGTGAGCTATAGGGTTAGAGGGTGTGAGTCCCAGTGGGGCCTCAGTAGGCCCCTCCTGCACATCTTCCCAGTGTTTAACCTGCTGAGATGGAGACTGGGGTGCCCATGGGAGTCCTGGAGTCTTCCTGGCAGGTGGACTTACAGTGCAAACCTGTAGCCTCTGCTGAGCACCCATGGCAGGAGTGTGTGTCCTCTAAGAGGCCCCTCTGCAAAACCCTGGGCCTTGCTGGGACCAGCTTTTTCTGCCCTGTACCTCTCAGTACTCCATCATGTTGGGTGTTGACATTGGAACTGGCTCTCCCACTACCACATAAGACCATGAGACCCTTGTCCTACCACATCAGCTGAGCTTATGTCAACTCATCGTGAACTTTTGTCTTTTGTAAGTTGGTGCATGCCCTCAACCTGTACCTCCTCCCTCAGCCAGGATATAGTCTGGGTCTCTCCCTCCTGTGTATCTGGAGCATGCATGAGCCCCAAGTCCCACCACACGGCAAAGGAGGCCCTGCACATTAACCAGCTTTAGTTAAACTGACTTTGTGTCTGTAGGACTATGAGCAGGGGCCTCAGGAGAAGTGGAGGCCTCATCTGTGTTTCTCAATGCTTGGAGACCCTTTCCTGGCCCAGCCACCTTGGGATCCTTACAGACACAGTAAACATGTAGAGGCCCATTTCAGTCTTTCCTGAGCCACACAGCTGGAGGCAGTAAGCAGACATGGTATAAGACACTCTTTTGGTAGCTTGATTAGCACTGTGAAGGAGACAGTGAACGCTAGGGACACACAAGAGACTGTGTGACTCTGAGGCAGGAGAGAAAGAACACAGGTTCTGTCCAGACAACCCAGACCCCACACAGGATGGGGGTGAGCACAGGTATGAGGAAGGTGTGTGGGTTCAACGAACTGGGCCCAAGCCCAGCCTAACGAGTCTGTCCTCCCTGGGCAGCAGAGGATCCATGGCAGCTGCACCCATTTCAGATTCACACCATTCTGGGGCAAGGATGAGGTCAGAACAGCTCAGGCAATGGCTAGTAAAGTGGAGTGCACAGGCCGTAGAGACTGGAGGCCTCTTTCCTTCCAGAGGGCACCTGAGACAGGGGAGTGCTGCAGGGTGGGCAACAAGGCTGCAGCCCAACCCGAGAACCCCATGCCACTAGCACCTATAACTCCACCCAGTCCAGCTGCCATAGTCCACTGGATCTGTCCTGCTTTGGGCCCCAGAAGAGGACAGCAGTCCCAGGCACCTCCTGAGAGCTCCTGGCATCTTCAGAAGGCTCTCTGTGTCTCTTCCAGCCATTCCCCTGCATAGAACTAAGCTTTCTCTACTCCTTGCAAGGGCACAGTGACCAGCAGCCCCATGATTATGGTGAAAGCTGGAGGTCCTGCTGCTGGGCCACCAGCTCTCTTACTCCAGCCATGGGATCCTGTGAGCTGTAACAATCCTATCTGCCCTCCGCTCCTCTGTGTCTGTTTGCTTTGTGCATGCCTCCCTGCCCACTGGTAGCAGCCAGTTCTCCAAGTTTCAAGCTGAGCTAGATCCCCAGAGATTTGAGCTGTAAATGCTCCTTTATTTCGACATTTTGCTTTTGGACAGTAGTGCTCTCCCCTGCTGGCCTATGTCTGACAAGAGTGCAGGTTATTTCTGTACTGTGTCTTTCCCTTGGAACTACCTCAGCTGCCTTCTGCTATTCCAGGAGCCAGCTGGTGGACCAGGATAGTGGAGTGGTAGCACTTAGAGCCACCCCATGGCTTCCCTGGAAGCAGCATAGCTTACATATCAGGGCAAAATCAGGAGCCTCTGGTAGATCCAGGATCCTCTGGTAGCCCATCCAGTGCTGGGCATCCTTCTGCCTTGCTGTAGGCCCTGGACTGTAACCACCACACTCCTTCCTCTGCCACTCTCTCCGGGGCTTGTTGAGAGCCGCTCAGAGCCAGGTCTATCCCTGCAGAGGTCAGTGGAAAGGGAGGGAGCAGCCAGCCCTTCCTGGAGGATATGGAGAGCCTGCAGTACTTGGTATGGACACAGGATAGGCATACCTAGGAGGAGAATGACAGTTGGTGGAGTTGCACCTGGTCATCTTCCCTGCTGCTCAGGATTCAAGGCTAAAAGAAGCCTGCAACAACGTAGAGGTACTGGTCAGGGCTTGAGGGCCTCAGGGCCTCTTCATGGGCATAAACTCAGATTTGGGGCTGGGAGGAAGCCACACCAAAACAAGGCTGTCAGTGCCAGTGCCTGGAACTTAGTCTCAGTGTCTGTGCTACCATCTTCTGCACAGTAAGCTGCCTCAGGTACACACATGGTAGACAAGAGCTGAGGTTGGTAGGTGGGTCCTCTGGCTTTCAGCAGACTCTGATGGCCATCCAGGCCACCCAGCTAGCCATGCCTGAATACATGTTGTCATGGTATGCTGGGACCGGGGCCACAGTGGACTCTGGGGCCTCTGGGCTTACGCTCCTGGGCCCGTGAGGAGCCCAGCTCAGTACCCAGATGCAGGGCCACAGAACCCAACCTAGAGGAAGCTTCTCTCCTAGTCACTCAGAGGTCCTGTGAGAGTCACCAAGAAGGGAGCAGTGGTGATTCTAAGGTAGGAAAACCATCTTTTATTCATTGAATCCAAACTACCAGTGAATTATTCATTCACATTTATGTAAGCCATTGAACTACAAGAATGACAGGGAGGTCAGACATTGACCTTCCAGGCCCCAAATCAAGTGACTGTTCTGGCTTTCTTCGCTGGACTCTCTTCACTGAGGCAGGTAAGCCTCTCTTCCCTGAGGAAATGGCTTCCTCCAAGCCATCAAGGGTAGAAGGCCCACTTTGTGTGTGGCTACAGGCCACAGGTGCCAGGTGTGTGGGCAGTGCCCAGGCATCCAGGAGCAGTGCAGTGGTACCTTCCCCCTCTGGGATACACACCACGGGCTCTGGGTGGCTGTGGGCCTCATGAAGACCTGCATCCCGCCTGTGCTAGGCTCAGTATGCTGCGCAGAAGGGGCCTTTGCCTTCTCCAAGGTCAGGCTACATTTATCACCGAGATTTAATTTTTCCCATTGGATGTCAGAGATAGATTAAAGGCCATGCAGCCCCTGACAGGACTGAAATATCACCCCTGAAGTGTGGTCAGTGAATTCTTCCTCCTGCTGATGGCTCCAAGTTGAACAGGATTGGCTGAGGGACACAGGGAAGAATATTGGGATCAGAACTGCCAATTAACCTTTTGATTTCATAATCTGATTCCTCCATTAATCAATGGCTGTGAGCTCATGTCCTATTGAGGGATTCTGTGCTGTGAACAGTGTCCACTGGGCCTCTACATGCCTGATGAATGGAGGACTGGCAAGGGCAGGGCCACAGCGGTCAGTGCCCCATGGCCCCTCTGCCAATAGGATAGGTTTTGTCAGGCTGCTTTTTCTCCAGCCTCCGGCTCCAGGATGCTGTGCTCAGATATGGGTCTCGAAGAAGTCAGATAACTTAGAACTCAGAACTGTAGGTTAGGGCCCAAGATCCCTGCCCAAGCCTTTGTGTCAATAGCCAGACTGTGTGCTCTGAGTCAGTTGTCCTGCCTCACAGCCACATGGCAGTGAAATGAGTTACGTGCATGTGGCGCGGGGGCCTCTGTCACACTGCAGGGGAGCCTGGCCCTCTGCATTCCTCAGTCAGTCACATGAGGGCTTCAGGTTTCCACTTAGCTCTTCTGGAGGGAGTCTCTCCATGCCCACTCACCTTCAGAGCCACCCAAATCACAAAAACCCCATTAACCTTCCCCTGGGGCCTGGGTTTGAACCCAAGCTGCTCAACACCTCTTTGGGAGCTCAGACTCCTACCTTTCCTCTTATGCTCCTCTGGGCAGTGGCTGGGGACCTCCAGGCTGTCTGGACCTTCAGTTAGCCTGTCCCTTGTCACAGCAGCAGGGCTGGTGTGGCCCAGCTCACACTCAAGCTGGGCCTAGCCAGGCTAGGACCCCTATCCCTAGCTCCAGGCAGGACCTCCAAGAAGTACCAACTCGGGAGACAGCTCCATTCGTGTTTCAGTGGCACTAAGCTTGGTAATTAACGGGGGGATAAATCAAGGTTTAATTACTCAGCAGGCACCTTGGGTGAGAGATTCATGGTAATTGTATGTCCTTGTGGTGGTTTTGCACAGCTGGTGTCTCCCCGGGCAGCTGTAAACCATGGCGGCAGAGCGGCGTGTAGGGAGAATCTGCCTCAAATGGTTTACTCAGAGCTGCATTGGTTGGGGGAGGGCATAGTCCGATGTAGATGTTTTCCCACAACTCAGCTATAGAACCCACCCAGACCCCACTTTGAGGAGAGACACCTCATAATGGCCTTGCTATGGAATTGGCTGGCAGGTGCACCCCCCCCAATAATCCACAGTGCCTAGGTGGCTTCCTGTCCTGCTCCCTGCATCCCTGCCTACCATGTGCTGGGGCTGGATCATGGAGGGCAGGCATCCCCACAGGGACTGAGCCTACAAACATCAGAATCTCTGGGGCTGCATGGCAGATTCAAATCTTTAAATATGTAGCCAGGCTCTTGGTGCTTCCTGTCCAGAGCATTCTTACCTGGACTTGTGCACCCCAAGTCTTGACTATCCCTGGAGCTTCCCAGGGTATCTTGGAGTCGCAGTGCCCATTGCCCATTATCATTCCTCCAACTGAGAACAGAAGGCTCCAGACCAGGCATAGAATCTGGAGTCCGGGTATCTGACTCCAGCATCTGGCTTTCAGAGTCACTGCTTTCTTTAGAGTTGCTGTTGTTAATACAGTAGCTGTATTATCACTGCCACCAGAAGGTCAGGCTGCTTATCAGCTCGTCCGATTCTTCTGCACACAGATTGGGGCTTGCTAATGTGGCACTGGCCTTCCCTGTCTCTGGGTGGGAGTGACTGGGATCAGGACACAACTGCCCTTGCCATCTGACTCTGCTGTGTCCCTGCCCCTCCTTGGGTTGCCCAGGCTGCCCTCTCACTCTCTCCTACTTTTCCTGCAGAGCTGCGGAAGCAGGTAGAAAGTGCTGAGCTAAAGAACCAGCGGCTCAAGGAGGTGTTCCAGACCAAAATCCAGGAGTTCCGCAAGGTCTGCTACACACTCACGGGCTACCAGATCGACATCACCACCGAGAGCCAGTACCGGCTCACTTCTCAGTACGCGGAGCGCAAGACCGATTGCCTCATCTTCAAGGTAGGCCCCATTGCACAGCCTGGCCATGTACCTGCTGTTCGCCCTCATGTCACAAAGGCATGGTGTTATGGGATGGGAAGAGACATGCTCAGCACCACTGGGGTTTGTTGACTGACCCTCAGCCACTCCACCTGGTTGCTCAGCTTAGACCTCCCTATCACTTTCTTGGTGTCCACTCTCTGCTTGTCTCCAACTGGTCTCTCCTTGTAGTTGGGGACGTTGAGAGCATGTCACCTTGTCCAAAGGCAGTGGTATCCCAGAGGACTAAAGAGATTATGTGAGGAGTAGAATGGATGCCTTCAGAGCTGCCAGACCTCAGCCAGGGCAGTGTGCAGTGTGGCCCACAGGAAGGGAAGGAAAAGCCATTTGGGCTGAAGGAGCACTTGTCCCATTCACTGAGTCTACAGCAGCTACACTTGGCTCCTTTCTGAGCCCTGTGCTCAGTGCCAGCCTGTGATGAGATGCACCAGTGAGGAGGCCCCCTCACTGCTGTGGGAACAGCATGGCCTGCTGGGTCTGTGCATGGTGTGCCTGTGGCTTTCAGAGTCCTGGGCCATGGTGAGCATGGGCATGAAGAGTCCTTAGGATGGGCAGCTCTAGTGACTGAAGTAGGTGTGTTGTCACACTGACTGGATGTAATTGTCAGGCAACTGAAAATCTCAGGTGACAAAATCACTGGCCTGGGAATGGTGCTATGGTCCCAAGAACAGTGTATGGCTCGCAGGCTTGAGCCAGCAGTATCTCTGGGAGGTCAGGACCACCAAGGTGTGGCCAGGCCATGTGAATGAATCATCACAACCAGCTGGTCTACTCATCTCTGTGGAAACAGGAACCAACTTGTTTATCCTAAAGTTCCCCTCCATGCACCCTCTGTATTTCAAGCAGAAATCTAGATATAAAGCGTTGCTTCTGTGCTCACCTTGTTCAGTACAGTGACTTTCCTCACACCCATCCATCTGTCCATCTGTCTGTCATAACACTGTGCAGTGCTCTGCCTCTAACCAGAGCCATACCTTGGGCTTGGTCCCCACTTTCTTCCACTTCAGAGCTCACCTCCACAGGCTTACAAGACTTCTCAGGTTCTCAGGTCATGTTTGTACGTTGTTACGCTTCTTAAAATTCACCAACCTTTTGATTAAGTAAGTAAATACTCAGATACTCAAAGTCTTCCATTAAATAAGTGATCAGAAATGTACTCCTTCCCTTTTATATAATTTTATATACATCTGAATAACTCAGGAGTGCTGAGGAATACTTAGCTTAATGCACTGTAGAAATTCCTTTTTTAAGTCAGGCAAATGAAGATGTACTTTTGAATGTTATTATTGAATATGTCACTAGTGCCTCAATGTTTATTAATTATGAGACAGATTTTTTTCAGTTGGTTTTTACACATTCCTTAGCTAAAGTGATTGTGTTCTTATAAAAACTACCTCCAGGGAGGCCTTGGGGAAACATTACAAAATGTTTCATATTTATAGGTTGTTGAAAATACAGAAAACCCCAAAAAAGAGAACACACCCAGACTCCTGCTTCCAAAGTTGCCACTGCTAGCATTTTGATACCAAGGATAAGGAGGGTCATGTGGGTGCTAGGCCCCAGCACTCCATCCAGCTTGCTGCCACTCAATGATCCTCCCTCTGGGGATCCTACCACCTCCCTCTGGCGTACCTGAGAGACCTTCTAGCTGCCTATGAAGCATGCTTTTGCCCCGCCTGGCTGTTCTATGAATGACCCACAGGTGATAACAGGGTGCACAGGGAGGATGAGAATAGGAGGCTTACCTGACCTCATGTGGCTCAGGACAAGGGGCTGGGGGGAAAATCCACAGCTATACTGATGAGTACTTCCCCAGTGGGAAGTTTGAGATGTGGGTGGCCTCTTCCATAAACCCAGTCCTTCCAGGGCTGAATGTGACAAGGGCCTCAGCATCAGGATGGCTGGTGGGCAGTGCAGCCCAGGCCCACAGCCATCCTAAGTTTGCTTCAAAATAACACAGTTACAGTGACGCTCCCATCCTGCCTGGCCTAGGACTTCTGCAGGATGTACAGTATGTAAGTTCTCAGTACAATATTTGGGCCTAGTGAGCTGTCATGTGTGACCATGGCAGCCCAGTGAGAGATTGTGTGTTACCATGGTGGTCCTGTAAAGGGCCAGATGTCATCATTGTAGCCTAGAAAGGGGCGCTGTCCTGTGACTTTGGGTAGGGAGCTGGGTATGATGACTTGTCTCAGTAGCAGGGTCTGTAAGCAGGTCCAAATCCCTCTTGTCAGCTCTGATTTGCAGTTCTGGGGCAACTATGATCCCACAGTGAGGCCTGAGGGTAGCTTTGGGCAGTTGGCAGGTTTGCCATCTCCTGCCCATCCGGCACACAAGGCCCACTTCTTTGCACTTCAGCCTGGCCAGGCCCAGAAGGTTGTCTGTCCTGCCACTGGGTGCTGGCTCTGTTTTCCTCGAGAGCTTCTACTTGGCAGAACTTGCTGCCATCTGGCCTCAGGCCCACACACCCACCCACCCTGTACTACCTGTGTTACCTTGTTTGCTCTAATGAACCTGTGCAGGGGTGGAGTCTGCAGGAATCCCGTGCTGGCAGTGCCATCCAGCATCCTAACACTGCCAACACTGGCCAAGCTAGCACACTTCTGCCTCCCCATCTGTTGGGCAGTGATTCCAGGCTTATCATCCTTGAGGCTTGGAGGAGATAACTTTCATGATGTGCTTGCTGAAGGCCCAGGGCCCTGGTGCTAAGGTTCACAGTGGCAACCCAAAGGCTGGCTCAGCCCCAGCCCACAGATATGACCGTTTCTTGGGGCTAGGGATATAGCTCAGCGGCACAAGTGCCTGCCTGGAAAGCACACGGTCCTGAGTTCAATCTGTGGTACCCAAAAGTAAAAAAGATGGAGTACACAGTTTCTGGTGACACCAAGTCCTCTGGGCTGCTCCACCCCCACAGAGCCACACAGCAGTGCTCCCATTCTCCCAGTGGATTGGGGTTTACACGCTGTGTGCTCCTGGCCCTTCTGGTTCTATTGGAAGTATGTGGAGCCCTAGAAGAGGCTCAAAGAGTCATGATCTTTGCAGCCTCCCCATCAATAGCCCATGCTTCCTTGACCCTTCCAAGGCCTCTCCTGGGCTGATGCTTCTCTGATCAGCACCTTGGGCTGCCAGCCATTGGAACCAGGTACCAAGAGGAGTTTGAGAACATCAAGCTTTCTGGTGGAAATCTCTTCCCAGGACACCAGATCTGGTTCTGCTCTATCCCCTCTTGTCATCTTTGGTCACTTTGGTTTTTTGTTTTTTTAAAAAATAATTTTATTGAAGGGGCTGGGGAGATAGCTCAATAGAATAAGTGCTTGCCTGGCAAGCTCAAGGACCTGAGTTCAATCCCCAGTTCCACACACACAAAAAAAATAATAATAATAATTTTATTTAGAAAGAAGCAATGAGAGAGTTTCAAAACTGGTTAGTAGGACAGTTACAATAATTAGTACATTGCATATCGTTGTCTTTGTAGTAGTTATTCATAGTACAAGATGCAGACATGATATCTTTTTTGGGGGGGTCTCTTCATAATTCAGACTTGATATCTTGTTTAAACACTATTAGTTCAAAACTTTCTTCTCATTGAACTAAGAGAAAGTACCTGTATATCTATGCTAACTGTTTTGTATATACAGGATATATATATATATATATATATATATATATATATATATATATTCCCCCTCCCCCTACAAAAATGTTTGGTCACTTTGTTCTCTGGGGAACAGTACGCTCAGTGGCAGAAAGGACCATCTCTGTTCCATTAATAGCAGGATTATTCTAGCAGGAGCCCTTCTTGTGGAGATGGCATTCCCAGGATGTGCAGGGCAGAGGGGTACAGAGGGGAGAGATAGAGTGCCATGTGTAGTGCCATGGGGCTGTGATTTCACGTATAAGGGTGAGGTGGGACTGAAGCAAGAGGATCACAAGTTGAAGGCCCACTTGGGCAACAAGAGCTGGAGGTACAGTTCAGTGGTAGAGTACTTTCTTAGCAAACGTGAGCCCTGCGTTCAACTATTAGTACTTCCAAACACAGTGTTGAGGGGCAAGGAGGGATGACAACAGATAGCAGACTGATCTCTGGGGCCCATGGCCTCTTCCCATTCCCACTGGGCTGCTACATACAGGTTGGTATGATGACATCTAGTCAAGAACAGGAAGTCACACCACGCCACAGACTCCTAGCCATTTCTGTTTGTTTTATTTTCCCAGAAATGAATTTAAAGACAGGAAGGGGTCTGAGGCAGAGTTAGAAATAGCTGTGCCCTGTTTCCAGTCGAGCAGGTTCTGCAGATGTGTGCTGGGATAATTGAGGGTTTGCTGCTCAGGCCCACATGCTCCGCTTCCCGGCCCAGCCAGGACCCAGCCTCTGTTGCCGAGTGGGTGGAAGGAGCTGTTGCCTGGGGGCTGCCATTTGGGGGGAAAGGCAAACGATCTCAGCTCCCGCTCAGCCCAGTGGGAGTCTGGCATCCTGCCTACTCCAGAGGAGGCAGATTCCAACATCTCTGAGTTTTCTTGGAAAAGCTGGGCCTGGAGGAGGGGTCTGCTGGCTGTCCACCACTGTCCAGGGATGCTGAACTTAAAAGCTCACCGTGTAGTAGGAAATTCCTGGACATCTCACTCCTTGTGGTTCTGCAGAACCCTGCCTCTCCCCTTGTCCCAGAAGGAGAGTATCCTGTCAGAGTGTTAACCATGGTGACAGTTAACAGTGCCACACAGTAGCTACAACTCAGGCCAAGACCATACATAGTAGATTCAACTTATAACTAACCCTGTGGCCCCTTTCTCTGGTGCCAAGACCATCCCACAAGTCAATATGAGTCAAAGCCTGCAGGGTCCACTCAGGACTAGAAGCTAGGGACTGGAAGGGCTAGAGGTGCTTGGACAGGACAGAGATGTGTCTCCACGTTGCACTTAAGATCCCAGAGCTGGGATGCAGGACTGTGGAGACTTCTGCC